ATTCCTGTACTCTCCCAACAAATCCAACATAACCTCCAACGAAGGAGGTTTGAGGAAAAATTTCTGCTTCAGCTTTTTCGTTTCTGATCTCAGCAGTAAAAATCCACCAGTGTACAAGAACTCAATATTTGTATAAACGCTGACACATCTTTTTTGTTCAACCTGAACCGAACATTGTAGAAACCGTGAAACTCTTGCAGTTGTTTTCAACGTTTCAGCAAAGCACCTGAGAACCCCTACAGCAAACAGGCATTAAATATGTGCATTTTATTCTTGATTTGCTGTTTGTTTATTTTCGCTCTCTCTCTCTCTTCTTGCCTTTGAAAATTCTGAGATATCTTTAGGCGCTGTGCAAACGCAGCAGGTTTGAGATCAACCCACAGATCTTCTGTCATGTTCAAGGCAGGCGACTGCTACCAAAAAAGAACTTTATCTTGTGTGTTTTTAAGTAGTTCATGGCACTGAAGAGTGTTTTTTGGATGATAGTCATGTTGTAGGTTCCAACCTCTTTCCAGTTCTACCCGCTGGTCTGACTGCAAAGAATCTAGCCCACAGAACTTGGGTTTGTGTTTAATGAATTTCCATTATTTTCTCTTTTCCATTTGGCACGGGCTGCACTGGCATTTCCCCAAAGCAACATTTTTACACCTCCCTACACACACACACACACACACACACACACAGTCATGCATACACTTGTTAAATGTGGCAGCTGAGTACAAAAATGGCAGGCGTTTGCACATGTCAATCTTATTGTTGAAGTGGGTAGAATTGTTTACATTTATGACAAGTCAATAATCTATTTAATTTATATTTCTTCGTCTATTTTTGTACACCAAGGCTTCCAAACTGGGCTTTATTTCATAACCAGATGGCTGAGTCCATTTATTATATACTGTCAAAATATGTAGGACACAGCTGATGAATTGTTATTAAACTGTTCATGGAAAACAGGCAAAATATAAAAAATAAAAATCCCAGCACTGGAAGGATTTGAGTGTAGAGCTCACAGTTCCTGTTGGTTGTATGTTGTTGTCAGGGCTGTATTTGTCAGCAGTGTACGAAACGGTTCAGTCCTTGATTCAGTCCTTTTATTGTAAAAGTGGATTTTCACCTTGAACAGAAATCGTCAGGTCCTGATGGAGCAGAGCAGCTATTTAAAGACAGAAGGCACCGCGTCCTGCAGTGAAGGTTGGACGGACAGAATCACCTCACTGTGCCTGACGCCTGCTGTGGTGTGTGTCAACCATACAGCACAATGTCACTTAAACACGAGGGAGGGAGGAACGCGTTCAATATCAGTGTCTGACCTTGATTTACGTTGAACTGCTGCTTCTGTCAAACTGTCACCACGCACAGTGATCACTTCACTGAGTTTACATGATGGAAGACAGTTACTGCTGTCACTGTGATTCAGACTTTCTGTGAGACTATAAACCAGTGTTTCCTAAACTTTTTTCTGGCGATCTGTATTTTAAAAGTCACAAACCTTTGTGACCCAAGTCAATAGACATTATTCGTAAACTCCTGGGAAATATGATGCGAGACGACCCAAAAAAAAAAAAAACAATGTGGGAAACAATGCCATAAACCATGTACATGGGGTCCCTGATTTACATCAGAGTAGTAATGTGTCGGAACTCTCATACTGTCCGTCAGTACATATGTCACTCACCTACGCTGACATGTTTAATTTGAGTTTAACCTGTTCTTTGTCTCTCAAAGTTTAAGTAAAATTAACTTAAAATTATTTTTATTTTTTCGAACCAAGTCCGTTGAGTAGAGATACTGGGTTCATCTAGGGAAAATTCTAGAAACATCAAACTGTATTTTTGTACTTTTTTGTTCATGTCAATGCTGCTACAGCTGCTGGCTACATCTCTTATGTTTTGTATGTGCCTTTGTGTATGTACGTATGTGTATGTGTGTGTGTCTGTCTGAGTCTTTGACCACTGTCCTTACCAGTTATTTGCCTAAGGGTGAGACACGGCCACTCTAGCCTCCCCCATCCTGACCCCCTCTCATTCTCTCTGTCTTGTCATATCTCCATTAGATTCTTTGTCCTTGCTTTCCCTAAGGCCGCCCTGTGTATGTGTGTATGGATGCACATGTCTTTCTAGGGCAGTGAGGACAAGTACTGGTTTGAACCCCATCATTGAGAGGAGTTTTTTTTTTTTTTTAGATTGTGTGATTATTTTGTCAGGGCCTCACACCCTGAGATTTTTGTGTAAGGTAAGAATAAATATTGGGTCAGACTGAAGTTCAAAAAAGGCAACAGAATGCATCATGTCTTTTGGGTGCTTTCACAAATATAGGGTCAGACAAGTGTGTGTGTGTGCGTACATGAATGTTGTTTTGCAGTCTCTCAGGCAATAACAGACCCAAGTGACAACAACTCTTATTGTCATCTTTTTGTTGTTTTATTTTTTTTTCCTTTTCTTTCTAGGCCGGCAGACATTCACGCATTTTGCCCGTGCACTGGCTCCTATGTGAACCAAACAATAAGCAAGTTACAAACGGTAATGGTTGCCTTTGTCATTCTGAATGGAAACATAGAAATTACAAAATCATAAAAAACGCGGCAGTACAATGGGAGAGTTTACAGCCTCTACACGGTTAGAGCAGAGCAGAGCAGAGTAGTTCCTGCAGGGGGCCATACATTACATGAGTCATTTTGAACCTGACAGCAGACTGTCATTGTTAATATCTGTATGTCATCATGATGTCTGACTGTGGGGATATTTCACACTGGTGGGTTTACCAGATGGATGCATTCACCATGAAGCAGTTCCAGTTCAATTGTCATTGTGAATGTTTCCTTTTTAAATTTGAGTACGTAAACCATGTAAACCATAAAAATGAATGAACCTGTGTGTGTGAGAAAGACCTGAACCATCAACATGGCTACAGGTCTACACAACATTATATTGGTTCAGAGAGATACAGGATTTATATGATATTATATGATATATGATGAGATCAAAAGCTGCCTTTTTACAAGATTTTCCTATTATATTTCACTAAAATGCCTAAAAATGTATTTCTGCACATTATTATAAAGAATGCAAAGACATGCTGTTTATAAACCTGAGGTTTGAATTTCTGTTGATCCAATTCAGTTGGGGAGGAGTTATTCTCTCTCTCTCTCTCTCTCTCTATATATATATATATATATGTGTGTGTGTGTGTGTGTGTTACCTTAAGTGCACACTGTTATTTTGCATGCATCGTAATCTACACTGCCTATATATATATATATATATATATATAGGCATATATATACACCTACCTGGACGATAGTGTGTGTTTGTGTGTGTGCTCTGAGCAGATATATTTAATCCTTTCCTTGTGAAAGCTGATGTCAGCATCACCTGGATCCCTCTGTGGTTCCACTTTCAGTGAGTGTGTGTGTGTTTGTCTGAGCCCAAATGTGTGTTCACATTTTATAGCTAATTCATCACAGTGGCAGATTAACCAGCTGTCTGCCGAAAAAAAAGTTTTAACTATGAGCCGGAAAAGGGAGACAGAGAGAAAATCAGGTGAAGAGAGAGGGAGATAAAAGAAGGGGAGATGGAGTCGGTGAAAAAAGGAGGAGAGAGAAAGAGAGAGTGAAGGTAGAGCCATACTAAGGTGTGTTCAGAATGGTTTTGGTCGAAACACACACTGGTGCTGTTGTGCTCCAAGTTACTTAGTTACCTAGTGACTAGGTGTAAATGTTAAAATCAGCATCTCAGCTTCAACTGAACAGAACTAGTCCAGGTAAAAAGTGAGTCTTGGTCCTCTTTCCAAAAGAAACCTGGTGTTTGCTTGATAAGCACCATACACCATATGGACCAAACCAGTCAAACCAAACTGAATTTACATTAAACATCTCAGAAACTGTACATTATTAACACAGAGTGTAGAAGCCCTTCAGTAAAAAGGAACACAAATTGAGAGATATTTTTTTTTCTTTTAATTTCTATTGCAGATACGGCAGCATTGTTGCCATCACTGAGGTTTCTGTTCTGTGTTGACCAGAATTTAACACTAATGAAATGAGTTGAGTCTTTTATTTATTTATTTTCTGCATTATTTTCTGCTGTATTTTACACCTTTAGTTTTTGTTTGGACAATTGTTGTATTTTAAACACTTCAGGACCAAAAGCTTCAGAAGACTATGTGCCAGCTTACCAGGAAATTCGTTAAAATTTACAAAATCACACCTTATCCTCTGAGGGCTTCCATGTTGCCACCTAGCCCAGCAGGTTCATCTGCTGTATTGATGTTTTGTTCTTCAGTTCACTGCCTCATGGCCACCAGCAGCTGCTCCACCATCATATGGAATGTTGAAAGGACACCATGGGGAAAGTGTTTCTTCTGTGCCATAGCTCTGTTGTGAACCATTAAAAACCATAATGGACTGGTTTAAACCGGGTTCAAATGCCTGAAGTGAATTAAAAATACTGCACATAGAGAAGTAACAGTGAGTAACAGCTCTGGGAATAAGACAAACTGAAAATGAAAGTGAGTGTGTCTGTGTGTGTAGGTCAGACCATGCCTGTGTCCATCTGCTGTCCTGTTCATGCTGCCAAGCCACATGAAACACACACACACACACACACGTCATCCATCTCTTTGCTTTTACTCATTACTTCATTGCACTCCCTATGAGCTCCTTAATTCTCACTTGGCATGTAGTGTGTTGTATTGTAATTATATTTTCCTGATGGTCATCGCAGTGGTTTTGGGAAATATGAACTGTTGTTGTATAAGATTATTGAGAACAGTGTAAGGAAGCACAGGTGGCCATCTGTCATGTGATTGGTAGTGTCAGGAAACCAAAACATGAACAGGAAGCAGACAAATTAGAGCATAATTAAACACTATATACAATACTGAATCAAGTGGTCTTAAAGTATAAGGCCTTCATCTGGAATTCATTAATTTGAATTGAGTTTGAATATAAATTAGATTTGTATAATAAATAAATAGCTAATTCATATTTTTTTTTTCTCCAGGAATGAAGACTCTCCTCGGCCCCTCTCCGGGTGGGCAGATCTTTGCCTTTGGAGGGATGTGTCAGGAGCTGGTGGACACCCCTTCTCCTAGGAGCATCAGTGTTTCTGCCCCTCAGACTCCACCTCCAGGTGATCTACACGTTCCAGCGCCAGCTCTACAATTTCACCTTCCTGCATTAGGTCTGTTAATGTAAATTTTATAAATATTGTAATTTTGTCCTACGCTAAAACTCCGTGCTGTTGTATTGCCTCAGGTCAGGGTGTGACCTATTCCCTGTGTGAAGTGTGTAACCTGCAGCTGACCTCAGATGCTCAGGCTCAGCTGCACTACAACGGCCGATCTCACCTCAGGAGAGTCAGACAGCTTCAGGTTGGAGAGGCAGGTCAACGCGCAGCGGGAGGTAAATTGAGTGACTCCAGCTCATCGGCAGCAATGTTTTGAGAATTTGATGGAATTGGTTACATATAGATATCTATTACTGTATCCTTTAGTGCAGTGATAAAAACCACAAGCAGACCAGGATGTCTTAGCAGTGTTTCAAACAAAATTATAAGTGAAGTCCAAATACCCCAAAAACAGATGAATGGAAACAGAAGTAGTTAAAAAAAGAAGAAATAGTTATATTAAAATAGTTATATTGATAAGTATTTACAGCACAGCTTGTCGTAGTAACTTCAGAAGCAGCCGTGTAAATATTTGCTTAAGCCATAATACAAGAATAGCAGCGTCTCTGACAGTATCAGCAGTTTATTACTGTCATCCCACTTTTAGGTGTTTGTTAATGGGCTGTTTTTATTTCCTGCAGGGACTCAGTCCAGGTCTCTTCCTCAAGCCACAGGACTCGGCCCTCAGTCAGCACGACTTACTTCAACCTCGAGCCTCAGTACTCCAACAAGCACAGCAGCAGGTAGGACAAGTGCTTTTTTTTTTTGATAACACTCGTGATTGTGAGTTTCAGCAACAAGCACAGCAGCAGGTAGGACAAGCGCTTTTTTTATTTTTTATAAAAGCTGATAACACTCGTGATTGTGAGTTTCAATGTACTCACATTTAGCCAAGTGTGAAACTTGGGCCTATTTAGTTAAACACAATGCTGATAAACTTGCAGGAATTAAAGAAAGCACATGTAAAACTTTTCTTGTAGTTTTTTAGCATATTGCTGCCAGCTAGTGGAAGAGCATATGTGTTCTGCCTACCTTCCTGCCCTGTCGCATAAGAAAGTCACTTCACTTTACTTTGAGCATTTGATGCACTAGTAAATATCTATATAACCAACTTAGAAATATAATTTGTAAAATTATGAGACAAAACAACCTTTGTAGGCTTGCCTATTTATCTAGATAAGAGGAAGAGCAGCAGTTTTTTTTCTGATTCCCTGAAGGAGGTCACAAAACAGGTTTGTCACCAGTGAGACATTGAAGTTACAAATGACATCAATTTATCTGTCTGTCTGTCTCTCTGGTAAGTGGAAATGACTTTGGCCCCTCCATAATTAACATCTGCTGTCAACATCTGATGTGGTCAAGACAGCAGTGTGTGAAAGTGTTACTTTGGAACAAGGAACAGTAATTAAGTGATGAGTCCTGTCCGGGTTAACGCAGTGATCAGTGTTATTGTTGGAGCTGGCTTCATTCAACTTAACTGTGATTAGTTTGAGTCGTTTGATGTGGTTGTGATTAGTAGGTCAATCCTGCTAATGTTGTTAAGTGTATGTAGTATGTGCCATTGTAAAAGTGTGGCCTTGGAATAATCATGTTTCACTGGGACTTCCACTAATCTTTGATTCTCTTTTTCAAAACCACTTTACTTATTTATTTGTAGTATTTTAATCTAATCACCGAACATGCTGTCGATGTGTGTGATGCATGCATGGCCTGAACTAGACAGGCTCCCAGCTGCTGCAAAACGTTAAAGGATGTCCAGCACAGTAGTGGGAGGACCTGAAAACCTGTGACCAATATAATATCGAATTGCTGAGCTTCCACCACTCCCTGGTAGTCTAGTGGTTAGGATTTGGCGCTCTCGCTGCCGTGGCCCGGGTTTGATTCCCGGTCAGGGAATTTCTGTATTGGTTTGTCCATTTTCAGTGATGTGTCATTGAGTTGCTCTGTCTTCTGGAGAAGACCCCAAAATGTGAGAATTGTGTACTTTGTCAGTTTTTGTCAAACTTCTGGCCTGAGGCTTAATTCCAGCACGTGACAGCATTTATAATAATATCATTCTCCTTTTTTATTATTTATTTTCAATTGCTGTCTACTGAACGAAAGCTTTGAAAGCTGTTTGACTGCAACAAAGTCTGTGATTCAGTTCCCACTTTTTACAGTCACAGCCCTGGTCTACAAATTGGAACTCAGCTGAAAGATGCAAAGATGTTAAAGTGGAGCAAACAGCATCGGGTCATTAAAGTGGGACACTGAAGTACACCAGCATTTCTCAAAGACTGGGAAATTAGTCTGTGCTGACTTTGACTTTTTATATTAAGAGTTTTCTTTACACTCACTAGTTTCTGGTCTGTCAACTAAAACACAGTGTGAATTTAACAAGTTATTTTTTTAAGGAAGAAAATAGACCAACAAAGAGCAACATAACTGTCCAATAGCAGCCTGGTCGTAGCGACCAACATCCTCCACTCTGGGTATCCTCTCAAATTCACCTCAGCTTCCATTGAAAACATTAGAAAAAACTAACCACAGTCAGTAGGTAAATTTATATCTACGTTCATAAATCCTGTGACCTTTGTTTCTAACTTCCTGCTACTTCCTGTCTGATTCTGTGGTGTTAAAACAAGGGAATAAATGACATGTACACATATGCCTTATTACAGTTTGTGGGGATAATGATGTCAGAGGTACAGGAAACAGAAAGACAATCTCAATCTCTCAAACACACACACACACACACACACACACACACATGTCTGTAATTACATGCCGCCTGTCTATATCAGTGAACAGGGTACAATATCACTGATTAAAAATTAAAACTCTCTTTGTTGGACACATACACACACATACAGCCTGT